AAAGAGAAGAGATTCTATTCTCGTGTAGAGGGTAAGAATGAGCACCGGGGAGCACTCACGTTTCCTGGACAAGACTGGTCAAAGTGTATGTCTATAATGAGACTATCGAGCTTGTCAAAGGACGACGCAGTGAGGCTAAGGTTAGCAACGAGAACTTCACTTATTCATAATAAGTTATATACAGTATATACCTGTTATATTTTTATGTAGTTAATACTTTTTACAACAATGTCTTTGCCTGTTTCTGTTCTGATAGGTTAATGGAAACTTTGCAGCCACTCCGTCTCCCTTCACAATGGCACCATCCAAGTTTATGAGTCAGGTTTTTCTGTGGTCATCAGTACTGACTTTGGCTTGGTAGTTTCTACGACACAAATCATTATGTTAGAATCAGTTTGCCCCCACCTTTTACAACCAAAGACACTTACCAGAATGCAACATGTGGCCTGTGTGGAAACTTCAACCACCACCCTGGGGACGACTTTCAAACGCCCCAAGGCGAGGTTGTGAGCTCTGATGTAGTTTTTGCCAACAGTTGGAAAGTATCAGGGGACGATGAGCCTGGATGTGACGAGCGGTGTGGAGGCCTGGACTGTGCTGCCTGCACTGACCATGAAACAGCTTTATACAGCAATGCGGACCATTGTGGTATCCTCCAGAGCAGTTCTGGACCCTTTGCTGCTTGCCATCTACGACTTCCACCGCAAACATTTGTACAGAGTTGTGTGTATGATCTGTGTGTCGGACAAGGCTATCAGCCCATTCTGTGCCAAGCCCTAAATGTTTATGCAAGTCAGTGTCAGCAGAATGGTGTCCAGCTGCCAAGCTGGAGGAGACGTGACTTCTGTGGTAAGTCTGTCAGTCATTCAACACTATTTCATAATATAATTTCAAAATGTCCTTGATGTCAGTATCAATGTTGTTTGCTTGTACCTAGAAATCCCCTGTCCAGCCAACAGCCACTTTGAGTCCCAAGGCACAGGATGTCCAGCTACCTGTGTCAATCCCAATTCCACCCAAAACTGCCCTCTCCCTGCCCAGGAGAGCTGCATCTGCAATTCAGGCTACATCCTCAGTGCTGGGGTCTGTGTCCCTCATGCTGAGTGTGGCTGCAGCTTTGAAGGTCGTTACTACCGCTCTGGAGAAACTGTAATACTAGACGAGAACTGCGGGAGACGTTGTAGCTGCAGTTATGGCTCCATGACCTGTCACTCACATGGTTGTGGTCCACTGGAATCATGCAGGGTGGAGGAGGGAGAAAGAGGATGCAGACCTAACAGCTATGAAACATGCTGGATAAAGGGCCTGGGGTCATATCATACGTTTGATGGACTGACATTCCAGTATCCTGGGGCATGTCGATTGACTCTTGCCAAAGTGATGGGATTGTCTCATCACCCCCACTTTGCAGTGACAGCAGAGAAAGTGCCTAGAGGCCAAAATGGTTTTGCCAGGTTGCTAAAGTTTGAGGCAGAGGGAACACAAGTCTCCATTGAGATGGCAGATAACAGCACAGTTCAGGTAAGCGACTTTGGTTTTGATGATGATTTAGACATTTTGTATATGAATATTGAAAATCTTGTCACCCTGAAAATCTGACACTAGCTGTTGAAATGGTCTTTAGGTTGACAGTCAGCGGATCAGACTACCATTCAGCTCAGCATCCAACCGAATCCAAGTCTACCACAGCAGCATTCACAGTATCATCCTTCACACCGCCTTTGGTGTGACTGTGCAGACAGTTTGGCCTCACTTTGTACGTATCACTGCACCCGGTATCTACAATGGTTCACTGGGTGGACTCTGTGGAAACTACAATGGTAACTCACATGACGACTTCCGCACACCCAATGGCCTCCTGGTCAACACCTCTCAGGTGTTTGGAGACAGCTGGCGAGATGGCTCCCTCGCTGCACACTGTGTGGAAAGTGTAAATGAAAATTCTACGACAAATTCCAATTCCAGTGAGCGCTGTGGCATTATTGCCTCACCGAATGGGCCATTTACCCAGTGTTGGGCCATGGTGGACCCACAGCAGCATGTGAGTGCATGCATGGAGACCATTAGAGTCTCTAGAGATCCAGCATCAGCACTATGTGAGGTCCTACGTGATTATGCTCTAATGTGTCAACAGAAGGGCGTAGCTGTGGGACACTGGAGGAACATAACTGGCTGTGGTAAGAACTTTCCCTTCTTTTAGATGAAGTTTGGATATGGTATAAAGCTATGTAATGACCTTACTTTATCAACCTGTATGTTCTTCTTTAGAGCACACCTGCCCAACAAACAGCCATTATGAACTCTGTGGAAGCACTTGTCCCTCCACCTGCCCCAGCCTTTCCTTTCCCTTCTCCTGTAACACTCTGTGCCAGGATGGATGCCAGTGTGATGATGGTTTTGTCCTCAATGGCAACCAGTGCGTGCCACCAACATCTTGTGGATGCCATCATGAAGGACGCTATCGGCAAGGTGGCCAAGAGTTTTGGAATGGTGAAGAATGCCAGAGCTTCTGTACCTGCAACGGCACAACAGGGACAGTCCACTGTAATCCCAGCTCCTGTGGTCCCCAGGAGTCCTGCCGTGTGGTAGGGGGTGAATTTGGATGTCATCCAAACCCTCATGGCACCTGCTCTGCCTCTGGAGACCCCCACTACCTCACATTTGATCAAAAGGCTTATGACTTCCAGGGAACCTGCCGCTATGTTCTGGCGACCCTTTGTAATGACACTAATGGACTCCCCCACTTTTCAGTGGAAGCTAAGAATGAGCCGTGGGTTGGGTTGACAGTCTCAATCACGGCTGAAGTTTTTGTGAATGTGTTGGGATACCGAGTGCGTGTGTCAAGGGACAACAGAGGTATGGTAGAGGTGAGCTGAACCATTTCTAAACCATTACTGATATTTTTCATCTTAGGAACAAATATCTTTATGTAAAAACCCAGAATATAGGGCTTTGTTATCTTATTGTAAATATATCAGCAGGTAACACAAAATTGCAGTAGACTAATGCTTAACATGTGTAGAAACAGTGTTGCCATTATTAGCTTGATTACTAGACAGCACTGGTAAGTAAAATGTCCCACTAAGGGACATTAAGCGACTTAAGGGATCTTTGTTAAAAATGTGTCTATATTATCAGCCAATATATTGCAATTAGAAGCCTTAAACACAAAAATACAGAATCATTCAATATGAATAGAATTTTCTTTTTTTTCCAATTGTGTAGGTAAATGGAATAACTACAAATTTAACCAGTTTCTTGAGTGGAAATGTGTCTATCTTTGCAAGTGGACCTCAAACATTTATCACTGCTGATTTTGGCCTCAGAGTCACCTATGATGGATGGAGTACAGTGTCCATCTCTTGTGCCATCAAATTACAGGTATCTGCAAGAGTCTGAGGATCTGAGAGAAGCTGAAAGTGTAGATTGTGAATATAAACCTATGTCTTTAGCCTGGCTTTAATTTGATTGTTTTATGGCCGTTATATTTGAGTCTCAACGTTTTACTCTTTGCATCCTATACTACAATCACTTTGAATTCTGACAAAAAAATTGTTTGATTGATTAAACCTGATTAATGGCATTGAAGTTATCTCTAATCATTATCTTCATGACAGCGGACAGACATGTGGACTTTGTGGAAACTTCAATGGGAATCAAAGTGATGACTTCCGCACCCCATCTGGAACAATAGTCACCACTCCAGATGTGTTTGGGACAGCTTGGAAGGTTGCAGGCAACTACACCTGCAGTGATGGGTGTGGTTCCTCCTGCCCGCGGTGTACCAACGAGCAACCTGCTAGAGCTCAGTGTGAGGTGATCAAAGCAGCCAGCGGCCCCTTCAGCTTCTGCCATGAGCAGGTGGACCCAGCGCCATATTTCAATACTGTGTGTTTGATGTTTGTGTGTCGGGAGATGGGGCCAAGATCTTCTGTGCAGGGCCATTCAAGCGTATGTCAGTGCCTGTCAGTCTGCTAATGTTCGAATCTACCCTTGGAGACAGAACACCACCTGCAGTAAGTCAACTGGTCAATTTGGTGTTGATCAATTATACAAACAGACTAAGAGACAATCAAAGAGGTGTCTTAACCTTCTGCATCTACATACAAGCTTGGTTAACTGTATGAAGTCATTTAGCTTTAACAATTTCTTTCCTCACTTATTAAGGCTGGACTGTCCAGCCAACAGCCATTATGAGCTGTGTGGTACTGATGTGGCCACACCTGTGCCAGCAGCATTGATGCCACCTGTGAGCAGGTTTGCTCTGAGGGATGTTTCTGTGATGAGGGGTTCCTCAGGAGTGGACAACATGTGTCCCTTGGAAAGCTGTGGCTGCCAGTATGATGGCTTCTACTATAATGTAAGTCATTTACCTGGAAATTAATAAAACACCAGATTTGTATAAATATGCTTGTCATTCATCTGATTGTCCCTGTCATATAAATTATACAAAGATTTCAGTCTTGCACATATTTACCTTTGGTCAAGATCCATTAAGCAGCCTTCTTTCTCACATGCTCCAGGCTGGTGAGTCCTTCTGGACAGATGGTTGCTCCCAGCGATGTGAATGTTATGCTCCCAATGACCTGCGCTGCTCCGCTGCATCTTGCACTTCTGCACAAGAGTGCACCATCAGAATGGCCGGCTGGCTGTTTTGCTACTATGTCCACTTGCACTGTGTGGGGGGACCCACACTACATCACCTTTGATGGGGCACTGGCTCATTTCCAGGGCACGTGCTCTTACAATCATCACTGAGAGCGTGAGCCACAGCACCAATGAAACCCAGTTTCAAGTAGTAGCCACCAATAATCACCGTGGCAACAACCGCGTGTCGTTTGTATCAGCAGTGGATGTATACCTCTCAAATCAAACAGAGAATGTGCACATAAGGATCGGACCAAACAAAAGAGTAACGGTAAATGCCTCATTACTTTCAAGATGAACAAGTCTCTATATCTGCCTGGTGTAAACCAAGGTAATAACAAGTGCCTCCTCAATATTTGTGCATCTAATCTCTAATCTCTCATCCCACCAGGTAAATGGCAGTGAGGTGTCTCTTCCCACCACCACAGGAACCTTAGCTCGGGTGGAGAGGCAGGGAAGCTACATGGTGGTTGATGCCGTTAACCTGATCGTCCAGTTTGATGGCCGCAGTACCTTACTGGTCAGAATCGACCAACACTGTCAAAACAGAGTCGCTGGGATGTGTGGGAACTTCAACAATGATCCTGCAGATGACAAAGTCTTGCCCAATGGCACACAGGCACAAAATGACAATGAGTTTGGACACAGCTGGAAGGCACCCACAAGCCGACCAGGGTGAGCTGTTATGAAAAATTCTCTCTACATACAGTAAATATAGTCTTCTTCAGCTTCACATGTTCTCAAATGTTGCGAACCATTATTCAAAATGTTAAGCAACAGTGTGATGCATTTTCAATTATCCACACCCAAAGGCCCCATGACAACAATACTCATATTAAGAAAGTCAGACAAAGCTGCCCCAATGTTAAACCTATAATGTCTTTTCAGATGTGGATCCACAGATGAAGACAATGGTGGTGGATTGACTGACTGTACTTACAGGGAAGAATACTCTGCGCTCTGCAGTGTTATCACCAACACCAGTGGCCCATTCAGTGCCTGTCACCTGCACTCTGACCCACAGCCATTTTTCAGCTCCTGTGTCTATGATTCTCTGCCTCTACACTCCAGCCAATGGCATGCTCTGTTCTGCCATCTCAGCCTATGAGAGAACCTGCTCAGTTTTGGGGTTAAACATCTCTGAGTGGCGCTCTGCTTTACAATGTGGTATGTGTGCACTGTGCTAATTGATAGCCAAAATAATGAATGAGAAAATAAACCAATAGCTTAACAGAGCTAGCCACTTTTGGAAAAAAGATATTTCCTGTTTCTTGTTTAAGTTTAATCACTTCCTGTCTCAACCTTTCCCCACTATGTCTATAGCTGAGTCTGACCCCTGTGAAGAGTTGAACTGCACAGAGAGTGAGTGGTGTGGTGAGAAGGACGGTGTGTATGGCTGCTTCTGTGATGAACACCACCATCGGCCCCACAATGAGAGCTACGGTGAGGGCAACTCCTCTTAAAACACTGATTTGTTCTTTAGATCATTGAAGTGATGATGCTAATAAAGAAATATGATTAGTGCAGTTTTAAATTATGAGATTAACTATACAAAAACTGCAGAAACAAATTTGAATTTCTATCACTCTTCCATAGACTCGTCCATCA